TACACACGACAACGGTTGTGAAAATTCGACCACAGATATTATATTATTGTCTATTAAAAATTCAATGAAAGCTACTAACGAATATTATTAAACCACTGCTGCATCACAATACTGTGTATTGCCACTATAATATGGTCGAATGACGAACGTTTACGAACAATTTTCACGAAACCGAAATGGCATCAATAACAAAGCGTTTGAAAATCTACCATAATTATTATTATGAATACGCGGAGTAGGCATTAACTGATTCATTGTTTTAACAGTGAATATCAACACATTACTTCAAAAAGTATTTAACTTTTTTTTTATCGTTTTCCTTTTTAAGATTTAAATTTTGAGTATATCTATACTTATGTTTTTAATTTCATATTGCTTATCAGAATATTTTCTAAATAATTTGATATCTAAAAATCGGATTCCGAATGATTAGTTAATCATAAATCATAATCGATAAGTATTTGTAGTTTTTTATGGGTAGCCATGAGATATCCCGCTAAATGTCAGTTCACTACTTTGCTTATCTAAAATTTTACTTGTAACTAATTGAATGCCACCGATCGTTAAAAATTCATTTTTAATGTACCAAAATTCTCAGAAAACACGAGGATTATGATATTATAATACATATGCTGTTATTCAAAAAATTAAAAACTGAAAAAATGATAGCATAAAAAAATATTGAGAAATATTATTCTTTTTAAAAATTGTATTCTTTGATGATTTTTAACTAGCTATCTTTTCTAAAACAATCATAATTTTTTAAATAATGAATGTATTACTGTAAATAGAATCACTCGGTATAATATATATGTATTAACGTAACATAGATACTACAGTAAAATCGGAAATCTAGAATTTATTTACTCTGTGGATGACACGAGTAAATAATATGACAGCAAACTACTGTACCTATACACTATGCACATATATAAAACAATACAATTTTGCTGGTACGCATTGTAATAATGCGCATAATATAATATAGGTAATACATATCATAAGTATCTGCATATTATTATGATTGATTTTACGATTTGTTTATTTATTTTGAGTAGGTCGTTTAACTCTTAAATACGCGCGCTTTGAACAAATTTACATGCTGTTTGTATACATTAATAGATTATTGGCTATGTAGATGTCCGTAAAAACTGTTAAAAGCAATTTGACAAATCGCGTTTAATCTCAAAACGTGATATAGAAATGGTTTAAATCATTCTACACATTCGTCTTCTTGTCGTTTCTACAACATCGGTTTAATTGACGCGTAGGTACCTATTTTATACTCGTATTATAGACAATAATAGTTCATATTATAATATGTACAATGTACATTTATACATCTCGAAATATTATAATGTTTGTTGCAAATATTTATATTGTCGCCTAAAAAGAATCGATATTCATATTATGGTATAATACGTACTTATAATAATAAATATTATAACTGTGTTAAAGACATAATATACGCGTGACCTATTTTTATAGGCCAGGTCAAGAAAACAGTGTTGTGAAAGGAAAAGTGGAACGCGGCCCTTACAACATTAGGTGCAGACGATACTTTTATTTACATTTTTTAATCCATGATAATAATTGCATATAATACTATATAATATTATAATAATATAATGTATATTTGTGTTTATATAGCCATGCAGATATGCAGCCGGACGGTGGTCTAATCAACACGAAGGAAATCTGGAGTGAGTGCTCGGCTTAAACTCTACACATATGGATATAATCTGTAATCAGTGTATGTGCAGTATTATTATTTATTAGATTACTCTCGATAACGACGCACGGTATGCAATAGACCGGTGGCCTGTGGTCAGTAGAACTGGTGAATAATAATAAAAACAGATTACAAATCCGCGAAATTACACGTACGGTAGCTATATAAACTCGTACAGTTATAATAATTACGGTCCCCATTATTTAGCGAGCGTTTCCTGGTCGGATTTCCGAAAACTATTATTCGGACCGCGTGTACTAAACTTGCACAATATTATAATACAATAAGATAAAATACAATACAATAAAATTCCGACATATATAGGTCGTACAAAGTGGTACAAAGTTGGACCGAGTACGGGGTTGTACATCAGTTGTGAGGTAGGTAGAGGTGAGGTTAGGTGAGGTAGGCACGGACTATTTTATATTGACTATATATATATTTTATGTTATAAAATAGTTGGCAGAACACGGGCTCAAGAATATTGAGGGCGCAGAAACGAAAAGGTATTAAAAGAAAAAAAAAATTCAACATAATCGAAAATTTCCATCCACCCCGCACGCGCGATTCTTTGACCTACTTATTTCCGCAAGTCCATATCATTATGTACCCTTTTCCGTGAAGGCGCGACGGTGGTTGCTTACGGAAAGACCTGACGATGACCTTGACGAACGACCCGCTCCTCCGCGATGACCTACAAACGGGCGGAAAATTTTTGGCGTAAAAAATACCGAAACCGTCCCAACAAATTTCCCTCCCAAAAATTAAACGGAATATGTAACGTGCTGTTTATATATATATATATATATATATATTTGCAGTATATTATATAAGTCACACTCAAAAAAGACTTACTGTCGTGTGCTGTGGCGGCGGCGGCGGCGGCTAAACGTCTCACGTAACCATTATTGCGAAATTTTCTTTTCGCGCGCTCCGCGGGATCGCCCGCGAACGATCGGGCGACTTGACAGGCCGGCGTCAAGTCGCTCACTCGGTGGCAGCAGCGGGTCCGTAACAAAAGTAGGTCACCCGCCGCCGCCGTCGCCGCGCAGAACATGCACACGCGCGGTATCGCGACGTTCAACACACACACCCGCACACGCATACACACACACTAACAACAGGCAGCGCTTCTATAGCAGTGGCGGCGGCGGCGGCGACGGCCAATCACTTTCACTGAGCCGCCGCCCGTATGACGTGTGTTATATAGCATATAATAATAATATAAGTTTATATAAATATATAGGTATATATATAAGTGTATAAATGTGTGTAAACATATGTATATTAATTATATTACGTGCCGCATTGTACATGACATGGACGCATTTTGTGTATAGGTACAAAAATAAAAATTATAGCGAAGTCCGACGGGAACGGCCCGCGTAGTGTTGGAAATTCGCTCGGAACAAAAAAGGGTGAAATTTGCATCCAACGCCGCCGCCGACGAGTGTCGCAGGGGTCGCAGCAACTTGCCTGTCGTCCGCAGGTCTATACCCCTCGCGCCGAAGAGTACCCGTTATCATTATATAATATGTAATATTACCGTTTTATGCAACAGGTTAATATATATATATATACCTATATATATATATATATATATATATATATATATACCTATATATATTATATATTATTACATTATTATTACATAATATAATATTATTATTGCGCGATGCTATATATAAGTCGTTATCGATTCTGGGAGGAATCGAACTGACAGAGCGCAAAAAAATATACGTACTTATATACTTTGATGGGTATAGATGAGGCAAGTCGAAACGAAACGGAATACAATCGAATTAATAATATCGAACAGTACCTATAATATATTATAATCATATTGAAGAATTCCGAAACTTTCTACTTATATTGACAATAGAGCTCGTAGTTTTAAATAATAATCAGCTATTATTAGCTAAAATTTCGTTTCTTTTATACCGTGTACCGTGTGTGTGCAAAATAATTTTCATCGTATTAAATGACTACAAAAATATAAACTTATTTACTTTTAGGTTGAAATAGTATAGAAACGTATAACAGCACAAACTATTATGCTATAATGCTTTGAACTCAGTAGTGGATGAACAATAGGTACTGCAATATAATATTGAAAAACCTCAACAACCAACGATTAATAAAATATATCCTACATATAAATTCTAATATTGATCATGTAATTTCAAATCATTTCCGGATATTGCAAGGAAATTTGTTTCGACTGTTCCGATTGAAATGTTTCGATTGCGTTCCAATTCGAACGATGCAGGTAAACGAAAATCCTTACGCGTCATCTAACCACAATACGCCAACATCATCGAGATTCGATAAAGTTATTTTTTGTATAGCGATAAGCATATTATATAGGCAATATATGGACTGTATCGTATTCATGCGGTTTTACGATAGCCGATAATTCGATATCTATGTAGTTACATTGCCATATTATATAGGGTTCGAATAACAACGTGCAATATATTTATTTGATTTCTTACGAAGAAATGCACTGGATCTCCACTTATACGTCTGATTGGTATGTCCGCAGAAAGAAGTATATGACGAAGATTTTGTGACATATTGTTTTACAAAAATATGTAAGTACCTATCGCAAGCGAGTTTTAGAAATCTATCGAATACATCTATATACGACCTACCACAATTTTTTTTTAAACCGATTTGTATTCATATTATTACTAGTTATACCATATTATATTATCTGTTATCATATTATATTGTTATCTATATTTTCAATTTTTGTAAAAGCCGATTGGCGTGTATAAAAATTAAATAAATAAATATATGTATACGGAACGCGATAATTTTTAGGTTCTCGAAATCACTTCTGCTTAGTCCTACATATTATAACATTTCAATACAAATTATGTATACTGTATATATATAATATGTCATACTTTTTTATCCTATACGCGCGGTTGAGTATCGATAGCTTGGGTCTCGAGGGGAATCAAAATAAATTCGATTCTTATAGTTCTCTCGTATTTTTCTAGTTAAATTTTGACCTCAAACATAACTCAAAACAAACACTTCGAGAGGCCAGAAAAATGATAAACGAGTAATCGAGACTCGGCTGTGTTTATACAGATGTGTCTAAAAAGCGACAATAATACCTGTATATATGCAACAATACACGAGCGTGCTCGATTTTATCGTGTCTTACGCGCGTCATAACCACGCGGTATCGCGGAGAAAATATGTTCACTATGTGTGATACCTAACTTAATTATACCTATTGTGTTCAGGTACTTACCAATCGGTTCAGAGACGGCATGATGATGGCGCAAAGCAGCTTGTTGGCATGATCGCTGTCCGGTGGCTACTGAGCTGCTGTCGCGCCAGTCGGTTCCGCGAGCGCGCGCGCGGGGGACACCCGGAGACGTGTGAAAGTGACTTTCACTCGGTCTCGGCTGTCCGGTTCGAGGGCATCCGAAATTGTTGTTTCCGAAACCAAATGCACAAATAACGATATGCATATAATATATAATATATTTTAATGGATATCGCGCATCGCGGGTACATATATTATTGTAATTCTATGTGTCATGTATAGTATCAGTGACGCTGTGATGAGAGATATATTACAAATTTTTAGACCACCCCCCTCCACCATGGAAAAAAATTAATATAAGTATTAAGTACCAACATTTTTCCGTACGCCCAAAACGATCCACATTATCTTGCATTATTACAGTAAACAGGAATTCGCCATGATGGTCCACAAATATAGTGGTACCAAGTGTTTAAGGGGATAAGGGGTACAATTTCTCAAAATTGTACGATGGCAATTGTCCGTTTGGTCCGCCATGCCATCACTGCGATAATATATTATACGCACTGCATGTATTATTATAATGTTTTGCGCGCGAGTTATATAATGATAGTAACAGTAGTAACACAATATCGATGAGCCGGTGATCTACAGATGATGATGCGATATCCGCCGCCGAGTGGTGATATTTTTTTTTGATTTTTTTGCTGTCCCCGCTTATCCTCGTTTATAAAGCCACTCGTCCGAGATCGCTCGCCCATATTCTCATGCATATGTGCACTCCGGCTACATTCCGAAGTGTAAGTTGCAGTCATATGCCAGTTCTGGACGATGTCGAACAAACAAATAAAACCAGGAAAATAGCTTTTTTTTTTTTTTTTAAAAAAAAAATGAAAAATAAGAAAGAACTTTGATCTCTAGAATAACTTTTCGTAAATTTTGTGTCGTTGCATCAGCTGATGTACGTGACATAATATAATTATAAAAATGATTAACTCTTGATACAATATATAGGTATTATGATGTCATTTATTGCAGCTGATAACAAACTTAGAACTTCGTGAGGGACAATATATTAGACACAATTAAATATGTTATATGACTTGTATGTGCAGGTGTATCTGTATTATATTATTATACTGTTAAACACTTCTATATATACAACGAACTACCGTTTAACAAGATTTTCTGTTTGACGAAATATTTTCTGGACCAAATTAATTTCGTTTTGTTTTACGCTGCAAATTTCTCTATATTTCTTTTGTTGTTGCCCATTCTGAGACTATTCGTAATAAAATATGTGAGATTTACTGTAATATAATTTTATAATGTTCGCCGAGGTCCGGAACGGAGAAAGTGCCATTTCGCGACATTGAGAGTAAAAGTGAAACGGTACATAACGGTTGGTTTGTACCGTTAGATTTTGTACGATGATGATAATAACGATAAATAATAATAATAATAATAATACGCACKAATTGGCTGTGCGGTGGTGACTGGTGGTGCGGGTTCGAGTTTTCTATTTCTGCTGGATACGTTCTGAAACTGGTAGGTATATTTCTCACCCACACCCGCTTCCCCAAAAAAATAAATAAATAAAACACTCAATAGTATATATATTAAGAAAAAAAATAAAACGTTATTTTGAGGAGGGAAATCATCGTAAGCTCATTTTGCGGGTGATCAAGAGCGAATAATATTATGCTGTGCATATAATATTTTATCCTCATCATCTTAGTAGAATAAATGTCGTGCTTGTTATTATTTGGGATATACACACGAAATGCGATGGTTCTCTGGCGGGCGTTACACCGACACTCTGTTTTCCGGATGAAATAATTATTTACTGCGCCGCGTAAGACCACCACCGCGTTGATATGTCATTCATGTGTTGACACGATTTAATACAATTTTTTTTCATAGTATAAAAAAAAATTGTTTTAATAACCTCACAATCATAATTTCACGAGACACAAATATCACACATATTCTAAGCGCGTTCAATAATTATAATTCTCGGCTTACGTATATATGTACAAAAGGTGCGGGATATCGGTGCATACATATTATTACTATATACTGCAGCTGTGTAGATATTTATCGTACACCAACATGTTCGACATCCATTTAAACTATAACGATACCTCCACGACAACTTTATTAATCATTCGTATCGGATAACAGCGATACGTATGCCAAAGTGTAGCTATGAGTGACGAGTGTATAATATTATACGTTTTTTTTTTAACCCATATAAGATAGGTATAGGTACGGGCATATAATACGATGTGTTTTTATATTTTATTTATCGTTCGGTCATTGATTAATTTCAGACCTCTTAAAACTAATGATTTTAGTTCTAAATAACTCGATTTATGTCAATGTCTACCATATACATGTATTATATAAACACACACATATACAAAAACTTTCTATATCGTTGCAGTGTTATGTATTAACTAATGTTTATTGGTTTATTGAAGAGTAATCATAATTACGGGATATCGATTGGTATATACATTATTACTGCAGTTGTGTTTATAAAATTACCAGTACCAATATGCAACACTCGCATCATATTATTCATACATCCATATCATCCTTAATCTCGGATATTGTAAAAGCGATGTAACTGTGATGTGTGTGTGTGTGTATATTTTGATTTCTTGTTTTTCCGCTTGTATGATACGTAGGTAGCCATAAATAATGCGTTTTCATATTTTATCGGTCGACCATTAATTTATTTAAAACCTCTTAAAACGACAAATTTTAGTTAAAAATAACTTGATTTGTGTCTAATGTCTATTATATATGCGCGCGCGCACACACACAGACATTATACTATAGAACATCATCCTAATATTTTTAAAAACTTTCTATTGTTGCAGTGTTATGTGGATTCCTCGGTGTGCAAGTTAATGCCCTCGCGTAATATATTTTTCCGAATGCAATCGATTTTTAACCATATCAATTTAAACAAAATAAAACATCTAAACTGATAATTACTAAAGGTCAATCATAAATAATACAATTATTATATAATAAAATGTACCTCTGTGGTGCATTCATAAAATAAGTCATTTATCAGTCTATAATAGTGAAATGTAACACGTGTGTTTGAATAATTAATAAAAATTACTTTCAAATCAAATGATAATTTATAGCATATCGATAAGTAAAAACGATGACGTATATACATAAAATAACAAATGTGTAGGTGTACTTATAGTAAAATATTATTGTATTATACCATCACCAACACGTGTGGTCCACAAAGTCCTAAGAAGTGGGCTGAGGCCAATATTTTTAGATTGAAAACAAATTCTAATTAAATACATACATTCTATTCTTATATTTATTTTAAAAATGTCTATTATTGGTGGCCCGAACGAAGACAGAATTTTACTGATTTGGCCCGTCAAAAAGAAAAAGGGTTGAGCTTCGCTGTTGCCGTACAAACTATACTCTAATAAAATATTATATTACTATTTTATCCTTATCTAAACGTTATTCGTGGACCATGAACCGATGGTTCACACTTATCATACATCATTTATAGGGGTTTTAATGTGATATTTTTCAAAACTATATATAAAACAACTTTTAAGGTTTTAATTACTTGAAAAATAGAATTTGATCAGTTTGATTCAATTTAAGAATGTCTATATAGTTATTTTCGAATAAGCTTATTKTCCGTTTCTAATAAGTTTGTTGCAAAACGCGTACAAAACTGAATAAAGCTGTAGGCTCATACTTTGCAAAAACGGTTCTTTTAAATTTCTATTTACTTTTATAAATCGTGTAAAATCTTTTTTGTTTAAGAAATAACTAATTTAATGTTTGGGATTTTTTTAAAGTTTTTAATTCAAATTACTTTTTAATTAAATTAAATTATTGTTTGATAATGTATAATATTAATATAGCAGATGGCTCTATCAAACACAAAATTAATAATAAATAGATAAACAACAACAACAATAATAATAATAATAATGTAAAACTATTACTAAATGTTAAGTAAGACGAAGTAATAATATCCAAGTAAAACATTTTAACGAATATATATTAATTTCTTTTGTTTTTATTAAAATATATATTTGGTTATTATAATAATTGTATTATAAATGCCAATAGATGTTTGCATAATATTATAATTGTATACTCTGTTTAGTATGTAACCATTAACATTTCGCATATTCGAGAGGTATCTCAGTATCTCATAAATTCATAAAAAGTAAATTTTGAAAAATAATTTTTATTTATAATACTATTATTAAAAATTAATTTGGGCTATACATTATTGAAGAATGAAATTGCGCTATTTTAAAATGTTTAAAATAATGACATATTTCTATTTGCTAGGTGCTGTATTATTCTGAAGTTTTCTCCAAACATTCTTCGTTTAATTTATAACATAGTTTGACAATATGGTTTTAATTGATATAATATAATATAGAATATTTAGATGAAATTTTTTTTTTATTATTATTATTAAATTATCAATATTTTATTACAGTTATGACAATAAATTAATAATTACAATAATAATTGATTATCTATCTCTTTTAAGCATAGCTTGAGTTAGAGATAGAGAGTGTAACAATGCTATTCTCAAAAATATCAAAAAAAAAAAAAAATAATAATAATAATAAAATACAATTCTATAAATAAAAAATATAGAAAAATCAAAAATCAAAAATTACAATAGAAAATAATAGACTTGTTTTAAACACATTAAAAATTTAGAATTAAGATTCATAATAATAATAAGGTAATACCAAAAATAACAGAATATTATTTTGACATAATCAAAGTCAGGTTAAATTACTTGAATATTACTAACTATTAATATATTCATAAAAACAAATAATAAATTAAACTAACTCCAAGAATAAATAGTTATAAACACATTGTTTAACACTATACTTTGATGCTGATGGATGTTTTTTTATACTCATATGGCATTAAGTTGAAGTACGTAGGCCCCAAGTAGTCCACAAATGATTGACCGAAAGATTTTTTGGGATATTTAACGGGAATATTATAAACCATATTTTCTCTTTTATTTTCAGAAAATGTGTTATTTG